TGGCCATGTTGTCATGCCTTCACCTCCATTCTCTGAGGATTTTCTCTTGGGATTTTTGGGCATGAATGCACAGGTGCCCGGTGTGCTGTTCAATCTGCCAGATCTGGGACTCAAGCCACGACTGGCTACATGGGAATTTGGTGACTTAGCCACTATGCTACCTGCTCACCCAATTTTATGACCTTTTAATTGTCATTCTGTAGCAGCACATTGTAGTAGTTAAGAGTATAATCTGGAAACTCAGGTATAGTTTGCTTACTGGGTCATCAATACATCTGTTTGATTATTTCTCTATTTCTTCACCCATAAAATGGAATAGTACTATTTACCTCTTTGGAGTGTTATAGACATTAGTACTCAATACCAGAATGTTTTATTATTTCTTCTGCTTTTTCAGAGAAGCAAAGCCTGGTGGTCAGCAGGAGGCTTGGTGGTTAAGGTGCTGGGCTCCCACATTGTCAACTGTGGTTCTAGTCCTGGACATGGCAGCTTGAATATCACTCTGGGCATGTGTGTGTGCATGCCCAAAATCCCAAGAGAATAATGGCAGAGAAGGGATTGTGCCATAGCTATTCGCTCTGGGGGTGATTTCTCACTTTTTCCCTCTCTGTCTCTCTCTGGTGAGTGCACATACCCTATGGCAAAAACCTTAAAAAGAAAGAGAGAGAGAGAAGCAAAGCCTGTCAATTCATATACTGAGTGAAGCTAGTAAAACTAAGCTTTAATTTAATAAAATTTCCCAGATAACTAGAGTAGTCTTAGATTATATTCACCCCCATCCTCACTTTTCTTATATAATTTCTCTTCCTCTCGGTACAGAATCTATAAATTGTTAGTATTAATTGTTTAGTTTATCCCTTAAGTATTTCTTCCTGACGTCATCCACTATGTTCTTTTGACACTTGTCTCTGTTGAATTGATATTGAACCCTAGGCAAATTTATTTATCACCTGAAGTAGCTTTCAAACAACACATTTTCCAAATGGCATTTTTCATCTGAGCATTTCTCAAGGTGTAAATTAATGGATTTAACATAGGAGTTATCATAGTGTAGAATACAGCAACTGCTTTATCCATGGATAAAGTAGCCGCGGGTCTCATGTACACAAATATGCAGGGCACAAAGAATAAGACGACTACGGTGATGTGGGAGACACAGGTGGAGAGGGCTTTGCGCCTCCCTTCCAAGCTGTGGGCCCTTAGGGAGCGCAAAATGACCACATAGGAGAACAGTAGGAGGAGAAAATTTAACAGACAAATGAAACCACTGTTGGCAGCAACAAAGAGCCCCAGAGTGTGGGTATCAGTACAGGCAAGATTGAGCAAAGGGTTCAGATCACACATAAAGTGGTCTATGATGTTAGGGCCACAGAAGGGTAGTCTGATAATGAAGAGGATCTGTATCATTGCATGCAGAAAGCCTCCCATCCACACCACTCCTACTAGAAGGCCACACATCCACCGGTTCATAATGGTCGTGTAGTGTAAGGGCTTGCAGATGGCCACATAGCGGTCATAGGCCATCACAGTAAGTAGAATACCCTCTGCACCTCCAAAGAAATGTTCCCCGAAGACTTGAGTCATACATCCATTGAACAGGATGGTCTTCTTTTCACGGAGTGAATCTACAATCAGTTTAGGGGCATTGACAGAGGAATAGCAGGCATCAATGAAGGAGAGGTAGGCCAGGAAAAAGTACATGGGGGATCCCAGTAATGGGCTGGCAATGATGGTGACCACAATGAGCACATTTCCTACCACAGTGATGATGTAGATTATAAAAAACATGGCAAATATGATTTTCTGCATCTTTGGATTCTCTGTCAGCCCCAATAAAATGAACTCTGTCACGTTGTTCTTATTTGCCATGTATTTCATGTGATGGTTAATTATATTACCTGAAAAACAATTTTTATTAATGCAACTTTGAATTTATTATATATCTCCATTCTAATATATAATACACCCCTTTGAAATTTATCATTCTATCACATCATAAATTTTTTATTTTTTTGTGGTGTAAATAAAGGCTTTCAGCTTTTGAAGAATAAGCAGTTTGCTTCCTTGGTGATGACACTGTTAAGAGTATAGCTGTGGTGGGCTGGCAGGTGGCATGGTAGTTAAGGCACTGGATTCCCACATGCCTGACCATAGTTCAAATCCTGGACCTGGCAGCTTACTTTCTCATTCTCCCTCTCTTTCTTTATCTGTTTCTCTGTGGTCAAATTGCAGAATATTGATAAACAAATAAAATAAAATAAATAAATCTTTAAACAAAAAAGAATATAGCTGTGGAACCTTTGCAAGTACAATGTTAGCAGATTAGCCAGAATACTTAGCATTCTGAGATGATTATGAACCTAATATGAGGGACCAGCAGATGGCATAATGGTTACGTAGCTGGACTCCCACATAGTTGACCATGGTTCAAGTCCCTGACTGGTGATTTAAAACTCATGCTGGGCATGTGTGTGTGTGCATACCAAAAATTCCATGAGGAGAATGGAGAAGGAATGGTGGCATGGCCATCCCCTTTGTGGGATGATTTCCCAGTTTCTATCTCTTTGTCTTCCTGGCAAGCACATGCACCTGTAGAAAAAATACCTCTCTCAAGAAACCCCTAAGATGAAATAGTATATTGGGTAGTAGTAGACCTAGTAGCAGCTACGTCTCAAAAGACAGATTGGAGATTGATGTGAAGATCATGGTTATAAAACCAAAAGAAATACTTATTCTTTAGAAAATGGGGAATATTGATAGATTATTAAATATGTAAGTGGGATTGTGAGATGAATTTGAGAAAGTGGGACTCCCAGGATATTACTCTATTAAGATGTTTGTATGTCTTGGATGAACTGCACTGATGTTTAGAAATGTGGTACAAGCATAAGACAGGAACCTCAGTGTATAGTTGGTTTCTTTATTTTCTTTCTTTCTTTTTTTGCTATAGGGTGTGTGCACTCACTAGAGACAGAGAGAGAGAGAGTGATAGAGGGAAAGTGAGAAACTGCTCCCCAGGTAGGATGGGCACTCCACAGTTCCTTTTTGTTCAATCTCCTCTCGAGATTTTGGCCATGCACGCACATGTACCTGGCATGATTTTCAAGCTGCGATGTTCAGGACTTGAACCACTCAGTTGGCCATGTGGTATCCAGCATGTTAACCTCCATACCACCTCCCAGCCCTCAGTGTGCAGTTTTAAGAATTGTTGACACGAGTAATTGGGCATTTGTGATGGGAATGTAAAGCCTAAGTGGTAATAGAAAATAATTTATAATGCTATTGTCTAAATACAGCTAACTTTATAATAACTAATAAAGTATACCTGTTAATGATAAAAATTGCCATGTCAAGGCTAAGTAGGAAGTGCCTTGCATACATGATCCCCTTTAACACTTCCCACAACCTTTGTGGTTGGTCTTAATTTATCCAGTTTGCAGATGAGGCAAAAATCTCAGAGTCTCCTGCTAATAATAACATTAGCACAATAATAGTTATAATATATTAACATCATAACATTAATACAGAAAGTTTCTGACTTATAATCATTCAAATTATAATTTTATTTCTTTACAGTAATGGAAAAAGCAATATATGTTCAATAAAAAACATAACTGAATAGCTATATAACCATTCTGTTTTTCACTTTCAGTACGTATTCAATAAATTACATGAACTATTTAGCATTTTGTTCTAAAACAAACCTTGTGTGAGATGATTTTGCCCTACTATAGGCTAATGAAAGTGTTCTAAGCAGGTTTAAGGTAGGTTCAACTAAGCTATGATGTTCAGTAGTGCATTAAATTGATTTAAGTGCATTAAACAGATTTTCATCTCACAATATTTTCAACTTCTTATGGGTATATTGAGACATAATCCCATTATAAATTGAGAATCGGTAGTTAATAATTTTCATTAAAATTTATGGAATACTAATGCATTTTAAATGTTTTCACTGATTTAGTTTTTGATACCAATCCAAGGATTGTTATTATTTCATTTCTGTGTTTATTTTTTTACTTATTAGAAAATAAAAGCTTAGAGAAATTAAATATCTTGTCTAAAATCAAGTAGCTAATAAAGGGCATAGCTGAGATTAGATCAGATTATTCTTCTTAAAGATATCCTCTAGATTTTGCACTCATGTCCTATATTGTTATGTTATAAAAAAACTATGTTGAACTGGTAATCCCCTTCTGATATGACCATTATAATATAATTTCTCTAATATTACTTTATAGGGAAGTTTGTATAGTGGAATTTCACCAGCAAACACCAAAGCAGGTAGACAGAAAAACAGACAAATACACACACACACACACACACACACACACACACACACACAGAGTCACATCTTTGAACTCCCAAATATAAAGGAAAGTGTAGTATTGTAGTCATTGAAGAGCCTCTTTTCTTGGGTTCTTCTACAGATTTTGCTATCCATTTTTACTGATTCCAAAATTGGGCCACCAGACTCATCTCCAAATGTTGAAAAAGGTGTACATTTTATTATAGTGATACTGGTTTTATAATTTGAAAGATTGAATTAAAATCCTATTTTTGTCTTACAACTTCTTTTATCTTGGGTACATTTTGGGGCAGCCTCCATCCTTGTTTTCCCATCTTTAATGTGAGACTAATATTTTACAATTGTGTATGCACTTAGGAGATAGCAATACTTGGTAGAGCAATAAATATAACATTTATTCATGCAAAAAATTCAGGAAGAATCATCTCTAATATAAGGATGTATAAGGATGCAAAAGAGATTCATATTATGCATAGTAATTGATCCAAGGAAGGGCCCTTTTATATTTATACTTGTTCTAAGAAGCTAATGTCTTATACTTATTATACTATTTAATATTCATATATGTTTTTATGTATATTGAGTATATTTACATTTTCTTTTAATAATCTTAACAATCTTGATTATTAAAGATTAACACATTGTTAATAATCTTTAGTAATCTTATGACAAACACATCATGCATACTTTTGTTATAGGAGAGCTTGGTCCATCAGAGAGCTAAGTCCTACGAATTGCCACTAGGCAGAATAGTGGTTAAGATGTTGGACTCCCACATGGTTGAGCATGGTTCAAGTCCTGGACGCAGTGGCTTGAAACTCCATGCCTGGAACATGTTCTTGCCCAAATACCAACAGGAGAATGGAAGAGAAGTGATAGCATGTAGCCATCCCTCTTGGAGAATGATTTCTTACTTTCTCTCTCTCTGTCTCTCTCTTTGTCTCTGACCAGTGCATATGCCCTATAGCAAAAATTTTTCTTAAACCTCTCCCCAATTTTCAATTGTCAAATTAAGCTAATAAATTAATTGTATTTTGAAATACTGGGTAACATTAATACAGAAAGTTTCTGACTTATAATCATTCAAATTATAATTTTATTTCTTTACAGTAATGGAAAAAGCAATATATGTTCAATAAAAAACATAACTGAATAGCTATATAACCATTCTGTTTTTCACTTTCAGTACGTATTCAATAAATTACATGAACTATTTAGCATTTTGTTCTAAAACAAACCTTGTGTGAGATGATTTTGCCCTACTATAGGCTAATGAAAGTGTTCTAAGCAGGTTTAAGGTAGGTTCAACTAAGCTATGATGTTCAGTAGTGCATTAAATTGATTTAAGTGCATTAAACAGATTTTCATCTCACAATATTTTCAACTTCTTATGGGTATATTGAGACATAATCCCATTATAAATTGAGAATCGGTAGTTAATAATTTTCATTAAAATTTATGGAATACTAATGCATTTTAAATGTTTTCACTGATTTAGTTTTTGATACCAATCCAAGGATTGTTATTACTTCATTTCTGTGTTTATTTTTTTACTTATTAGAAAATAAAAGCTTAGAGAAATTAAATATCTTGTCTAAAATCAAGTAGCTAATAAAGGGCATAGCTGAGATTAGATCAGATTATTCTTCTTAAAGATATCCTCTAGATTTTGCACTCATGTCCTATATTGTTATGTTATAAAAAAACTATGTTGAACTGGTAATCCCCTTCTGATATGACCATTATAATATAATTTCTCTAATATTACTTTATAGGGAAGTTTGTATAGTGGAATTTCACCAGCAAACACCAAAGCAGGTAGACAGAAAAACAGACAAATACACACACACACACACACACACACACACACACACACAGAGTCACATCTTTGAACTCCCAAATATAAAGGAAAGTGTAGTATTGTAGTCATTGAAGAGCCTCTTTTCTTGGGTTCTTCTACAGATTTTGCTATCCATTTTTACTGATTCCAAAATTGGGCCACCAGACTCATCTCCAAATGTTGAAAAAGGTGTACATTTTATTATAGTGATACTGGTTTTATAATTTGAAAGATTGAATTAAAATCCTATTTTTGTCTTACAACTTCTTTTATCTTGGGTACATTTTGGGGCAGCCTCCATCCTTGTTTTCCCATCTTTAATGTGAGACTAATATTTTACAATTGTGTATGCACTTAGGAGATAGCAATACTTGGTAGAGCAATAAATATAACATTTATTCATGCAAAAAATTCAGGAAGAATCATCTCTAATATAAGGATGTATAAGGATGCAAAAGAGATTCATATTATGCATAGTAATTGATCCAAGGAAGGGCCCTTTTATATTTATACTTGTTCTAAGAAGCTAATGTCTTATACTTATTATACTATTTAATATTCATATATGTTTTTATGTATATTGAGTATATTTACATTTTCTTTTAATAATCTTAACAATCTTGATTATTAAAGATTAACACATTGTTAATAATCTTTAGTAATCTTATGACAAACACATCATGCATACTTTTGTTATAGGAGAGCTTGGTCCATCAGAGAGCTAAGTCC